TATATATCTGTAATTATAGATGAAATTCAATTATTTCCTATATGCATTGACTTTCTGCCTGCATTTGTGATTGCCTGTTCATGTCCTAAGCTATTTTTCTACTGGGTGGTGGTCCTTTTCTTATTCATTTATAAGAGCTCTTTTAAAATTAGAAATTTTAAAAGTATCATATGTGCAAATGGATTTGTAAGATCTTTTGCCTTTTATGGAACTGAGGCTCCTCTTTTTGAAAAACTATAAAATCAAAAATACCTTTTCACTGTATGGAAATGAACTTTTGACTAATGGGAAACTACAAAGTAAGCATTTGGGTCTTTATTATTCAGGTAACTACTTCTGCTTCAGAGTATTTACAATACCTTAGCTGGATTAGTTAAGCCATGATGGAGATCTGAATTCAGATCACATTTATAATACTTTAGTCTTTCTCATGCGTAAATCCTCCCTAACAACCTGAGAAAATTCATTAACAAATCTCAGATGTACTACAGAGCCTGTACTTAAGTTAGTTTTAGAATTTACAAAACAGTTGTTTTTAGGAACTGATTAAGATATGATTAACAAAGGAAGTGGTATTTCATAAATTATACCTGTCACATATTCAAGATGAAAGCTCATTTAACTTTCTTTTCCTATTTTGCTCTTGTTCCTCCTTTGTTCCTCAACCACATTAAAAAAATTTTTTTCAGGTCTTCAAGAAAGCAGCTTGGCCAGCTTATCACATTGCTATGCCTCTATGAAGGCTATTAATAAAAAGTGCTTGTGAGGGTTTCTAAACCTAAATATCTTTGGTACTTCTGTTAAAGTGAACTAAATATGGCCTGAGAAGGACTCCATACTTCTATATTTGAGTCCTTATGGACAAACTGCAATCTAGCTTAATAGGTGGACAAGAGTGAAAACCCAATTTAGCAGTATATGCCTGAACATCAGCTGAGTCTTGGCCAATCCCAGCGGCGGTACTTCAACCATTCATACACTGCTGAGTCTTCAAACTGTGTTCAAATAAGGCAAATGCCGAGCCATAACCAATCCAGCTGTTCTGTATCTCACTTCCGATTTCCGTACCTCATTTCCCTTTTATTGGCTATAAATCTTTCACCATGTGGCTGCGCTGGAGTCTCTGAATCTGCTGTGATTCTGGGGGCTGTGTGATACTCCAATAGTTCATTGCTCAATTAAACTCCTTTAAATTTAATTCAGCTGAACATTTTCTTTTCAGAAAAAAAAACATTTTAATCTACCAGAAGTTAATTTTTGAAATACAACCAAACTAAACAATCTTTTCCTTATGTCCTCTCTTTTTGCTCGTGTTTGGCCATCAGTCAGGTTTATTGAAGTATTATTAACATACAATAAAATTCACCCATTTTTGCTGTACAGAGCAGTTTGGACAAATGCATGGTTGTGGAATCTACCACTGCAATGAAAATACAGATTTCCATCACCCCAAAAATTTCTCTGTGCCCCTTTGCATTCAACACCTTCCCCTACCCCTAAGTCCCTAGCAACCAAATACATATTTTCTGTCCCTACAGATTTGCCTTTTCCAGAATGTCACATAAATAGAATCATAGAGTATATAGCCTTTTGTATCTGTCTTCTTTCACAGAGCACACTGAATTCAGATTCATCTACGTTGTTACATGTATGACAGCTCTTTTATTGCTGGATTGTATTTCATTGTATGGATATACCACAGTTTATCCAATCAGCAGTGGAAGGATTTTTAGGCTGTTTGCAGTTCTTGCAATTATGAATAAAGCCACATAAACTTTTGCATACACATTTCTGTGTGAACATTAAGTATTCATTTCTCTTGTATAAATACCAAGGAACAGTATTTCTGGGTCAGATGATAAGTACATGTTTACCTTTTAAAAACTGTTGAGTTTTCCAAAGTAACCACATCATCTGGATTCACACCAGAAAAGTATGCAGGTTCCACTTGTTTCAAATCATCAACAGCTTTTTTCATTACAATTTTTGTTTTGTTTTGTGGGATCTTTTTGTTGCTGTCATTCAGGGTTTAGTGGAATGTCAC